AAAAAAAAAAAATTTGGGGGGGGGGGGGGGGAAATGTCTCAAAATAGTAGTGCCCCTGCTGCTGGAGCAGGGAAAGCAGTGGCAAGGGGGCAGGCAGGAGGGGGGCTAATAGTGGGGGAAGGCTCGCCTTCACCCCCCCGCCCCCATCACCCTCCCCCAACTTACCCTTGCCCAAGCTCTACTCCAGCCTGGGGATTGGGGGAAGACGGGGGGCCCGAGGCTGGGGAGGGAATTAGGCAGGGTTGAAGAGAGGCAGGGGGTGGAGGCTATGGGAGCTGGAGATGCAACGACCACTTGCCCCGCTACTGCCTGGTACTCGATTCCAAGATGAGGTGCTTTTTTCTCCCCGATATATATGGGGGGGGGGCCTTCATCTTGGAATTGAGTAAATATGGTATGTACGCACTTGAACTGGAACAGACGCACGCTTAAAAATTTACACCGAAGTGTTCAGGTTTTTCAAGAAGGCACATGCTTAACTTTGCAGGATCAGCACTTTAGCTTACATCTTATATCTGACAACGTTTGAACACCCACAGTTTCTCTGGTCATATTTTACTTGTGTGGCATACATGTAGCACTGGTCTAAAAGGCAACTTGTCCATTACACAAATACCCAACACGCCATCACACAAATGCGTGTGCACGCACACATGCACAAACGCACACACGAGTGCAATGGTGGACATCAGCACCGACGTACAGCTGATTTCTCCAATTTACTTTCCAAATCAAAAAATTGTACACGTCAACATAGAATTTTCTATTTGCTACAGTACAACTATTTAATTGCCTTAAATGAAAAATACCTGAAAAAGGTCACAAAGAACTGTACCAGGTCCATAAAGTTGCTGTGCTGTGAGAAAGCAATCTGCAAAAGAAAAACAAAATAGTTTCCTGTTACTTCAGTGGCAGTGAATTTATATTTGGAGCCATCCTTCCACACTGTTGCTGGAATCAGAAAATGACAAATACATGCTGCTTTCTTTTCTTCAATTAACATGTTTGTATCATGGGTTTTTGATCATTTCAAACATGTGCTGAACTATTCTGGAGACTAGAAAATAGACTATGACCTCAGATTAAGGTATGAGTGATTCATCCAACATTTTTTAAAACCAAAACAAACACTTTGCCTCCTCCGGTTTTATTCCAGGAATAGATCATTTTCATAAATAAGGCAGAGGATATGCTAACCGTCTTTGGAGGGGAGAAAAATCTGAAATAACTGCCATTACTATGAAAAACTGCAAGCAAAGAGCTAAAGCGGAATACTTGAACTTGCTGCAGACTTATTACTGCAGCAAAGTGCCATAAAAACAGAAAGTCCCAAAAGCAAACAGAATCACATGCCCTTCTTCAAAAAATACTTTCACATTAAGATCTTCTTGAGTAAGTGACTTACGCCCAGAGCAGCAAAAAGGCATGAAATACAGAAGATAATAGATACTGTAAAAACAACTATGGCATTCATCTTAACTCACTTTCCTGCACTCCACTCAAACTGAAAAGAAAAGTGGAAAACAACCCAATTTTTTTTGGACAAAACACAGAGGGAAGAGAACAGGAAACTGGGAAGTGGTGGGAGGCAAAAGGAGAGATTACAGAGAGGCTGGTTAGAAACAACAAAGCACTGGGAAAGCACGCCAACAGAAAGGCAACTTCTACTGTATTCGGAGTTACAAGTTCTTTCCAGGTACCTCCTATTTCCTCTGACCACCAACCTCAGCACCAGACCAGGAATTTAACTCTTTCGTGAAAAACCCTGAACTTGTTTCAACACTGAACGGAAACCTGCAGTTTATACAGAAAAGCCTTTCAGCTGCAGGGCTTCTGGCATGTGTCCGTCTTCCTGTTAAACCACACGTACAGTAACGGCAAGATCAAGTTTTCACCTTTTCCCAGTATCACTCATTTCAAATGTTCAGAAAAGGAGTCCATGATCCCTCCCCACCTCTGAACACATTGGGCGTTTGTACACGCAACCTTTTTTTTGCCCTTTCCTTCTCCCATTATGTTTGCTTTAAATATCTACTGTATTATACCCAATATGATTGGCCAGAGACCCAGGTTTACAAATGCAATTAAATGCTCTTAAACTGGAAACATCTTTGGAGTAGACAATAGCATCCTTTTTGCTGTACTGGTAGTTTGTCTGAACAGATCTCAAAGCTGCACCTTGTATGCTTGCGTATCGTCTGCATGCAAGAGGAAGATTCGGCACGGCACCATCATAATTCTTTTTTGCTCTTTACATCTCATTTTTCACTTAGTTTCAGAGCATTAGCCAAGAGTTTGAGCTTTCCAGTTAACAAGGAAAAGAAAAGCGTTGTGTATTATAAAAGGGTGGTAATAAAAAAAAAAAGCCCAGGATAGTTTCTGCACTTCACGTTGCAATCGCTTTGTGCTGTTGACTTGACCCAATCTCCAAACTTATCATCAACCGATGAGAACTTCACTTAATTAAAACCTAATTTCCTCAAATACAGTCTATGACTATGGTTTAATTAATTTTAACTCTATGGAAGTCTTGAAGTGTCTGCATTATACCATTATTAAACCCATGCAGGATAAAGAAACGTCTGACACATGCTAAATTCCTTAAAGGATCTGGGTTTTCAATTAATTTTCAGCCAAATCAATTAAAAGATTTACTTTTACATTCTAGAAAAATTAATTCTGTACTGAAGGATTAAGTGCTGTAATCTTTGGGAGGGGATATTTTATTTTTCATACACAAGGGGCTGAAGTCCTGTTTCCTGCTGTGAAATCTCCATCCTTGGAGGTTTTCAAGACCGGGCTAGACGAAGCCTTGGCTGAGATGATGTAGCTGGGGCTGGTCCTGCTTGGAGCAGGGGGTTGGACTAGATGTGACCTCCTGAGCTCCCTTCCAACCCTCATTTTCTATGATTCAATGTTTAAAGTACAAAACAGGACTCAACCTGAGCTATGGAACCATGACCGGGCCCGTATAAGCAGGATGGCCTTATGGGACAATGTGAAACCCAGGACACGAGTGCCCCTTCCCCCAGTGCAGGCATAGGCGGGGGCAGGACAGTGGGGCACAGCTCTGGTATTAATATTCAGGCCCGTTAATGACCCATTGTTCTTTACTGCATTGGTGTTAACAACCATCTCCCCTTTTTAATGGTCATTGCACTAATCAAGGTAACCTATTAGGGCAATTTTGCTGTCCGCTAGGGCTTCCTATTCCATGCCACTCATTTTCATTTTCACTGACCAGCCTCCAAAATCCAGGACTGTCCTGGCCCAACCAGGACATATGGTCACCCTAGGTATAAGAAATGTCTTTCACAAAAACTACTTGGCACCCTATATGCCTAGAAAATACCTTTGCGTCATCAAATCACTAAGAGCAACGAAACCAGAAAATTCCCTGCACGACTTCAGTATTGCAGAGTTAGCATCGGCGTTTACATGCAGTAAAGATAGCTGAAAGCAAGCGTGCATGCCCACAGTATTTTCCATGTGCAAATATTCCTAATGACTTCTCTTTGCTCTACAAGTTTTCTGCTCACTTTTCTTTTTTAAAAGATCAGTTTTGATTAGCATAATAAGGTTAACAAAAGTATTATTTGTTCGGCCTGGTATTTAGCTCAGGCAGTGCCTGCTTTTTTCCCCAGAGGAAGGGGACTTTGTGCCTAAAATCACTGTAATCTCACCCAACTAGGAAGTTTTTCCAATAAAAAAAAAAAAAAAGAAAGATATCAAACTAATGACACTCCTTGCATTTTTCTTGAATTCGCACAGCTCTCCCTCTACTACTGTAGCGTTTTGAACCACCATATGATTTGCAGTGTCGCACAAGACCGACTGCCCCACAGGTGAAAGCCAAAAAGTCCGATTTACTGACCTGCGAATACGTGCTGAAGAGTTTAGCTTTGTTTTAATATTTGGTTACAGCAGGATATGGTAACATAAGATTGAAAGTGATGAGCAATTACCCCTACTAGTAAATCAGAAGAGAAATTAAAAGTGGCTTTGAAATGATTAAGCGAGCATCTAAAGAGAACATGAAGAAAACCAGGGCATGACTCTCCGGAAAGGCGATTCTGAACTCAACAGATGCTCCTGTAATTAAAGTTATTGTTTGCATTTCCAACTTCCAAATTGTTTTTTAGTTTCGCGGTCACAGAGTGTTTTTCATAGCTTTTAAATTATACCAATTTTACCGAACCCAGCGGCACGGTGCTTTAATTTGGTGCTGACATCCAGGTTAGCTTACCAAAAGAGTACAGCACAGGAATAAACTGAGCAGAATATCCTTCAGTGAATACTGGTTCCGTTTTTTCTCCATCAGTTCACTTTTTTACACTGCAAACAGTTCAGCTGAACTTTGTAAACACTATCATGGCCGTATCTGTTTAATTTGCTTACATTCTTATTTTGAGCAATGCAAGTTATATTATATACATTCATCAAAAGTGCTGGAGTCTGTAGTTCAGCTAAGCAATATGGAATTTAACAATTTCATGAAAAACCATGCTCAGAGTAATTTGCTAATTAAGTGAAACAGAATATGAAACATTTAAGTAATGTTCTTCTATACTTTTGATGAATACAATTACCCACAAATCATCGTGAGACAATTAATGCAGGATACGTTGGAAGAGAAATTATATTTTATCTCATTACAAACTAATCGCTGTTTGATGTTAAAGGCAATAGGGAAGGGAATATGTATTAATTACTTACATTAATAATTCTTTTGGAACTTCCTAGCATGCAAATATATTTAAGAGGTTTGTACTGCTGAAGTTTTTAACAAATTTAATTTTAATGGGCTGTATCGCATTTTTTTGGCGTTTAGAGCCCTGCACATTCATCCACAGCACAGGAATCCTATTGTTTTCCCCAACTTTTTCTCCTCCAGTAACTACAAACTTGCCAAACGTCTGTCTTTGTGCATCTCGAGAGCCGTTCTTCCCATAGTCTGCTCCGATTCCGGCTGAAAGCAAATGAGGCTAGCCATGATACTTTGCACAAGAAGCCCTTTTAAAGACGCATCTATAAATGGAAAAAGTTAACATATTCAAGCAGAACAACTGAACTGGAGCACACACGCTGACAGGACACAGCGTGCTCGAGTTTCTTATGCTGGAGGAAACCGTTTGAATTTGCAAAGAAAGTCTGTCTTCTAGAAGTGCCACCCCACGTGTTAATTGTGAGAGCACTCCATGCTGCCCGCTCTATAACCGGATAGGCTGACACAGTGTTTTAGGGGAAAAAAAAGAAAGCCAAAGTCCAAGCAGCAACTTCGGGCTGCTTTGCTTTTCATTTAACCATCAGCCAAATGCCCAAACCGAGAAACAAGCAAAAAGGCAGCACGGAAGATGGAAAGGTTGGAAGCTCCGAGGGTTTTAAAACAAGAAGCATCCAAATGGCCAAATAAGCTGCATATGACATCTATGTACATCCTTCAGTTTATTTCCTCCTCACCACCTCTTGTCAGCCTTTTTGTTTTATTTTTTAAAGCTAGAGGCATGAATTCAACTTGACCTTGGAGAACAGACAACAGTAACGTGAAGCCAGGACCAGAATGGGAAGTGCCTACATTTCTATCCGCCTATCAGCCGAAAACAAAACAGTTTTAAGTATTCTTGAGCCGCTCCAAAGACATCAAGAGCATTGATTTTGGCTCTTTAGGCTGAGCTCAGATGAGCGTGGCCATTTGTTTTCCGGGGACAAGTGGCAGCGGCACACCTTGGGCTGCTGCTACTTGTCCCTGGGGAATGCTCGTGCCACGTGCACGATTGTGCATGGCACATTACCCCGGGTGGGGTAGGGGAGGCTCAGGTGAGCAACCTTACCTGGGGCCCTGGGGAGCTGCAGTCGTGACGCTCCTGCAGC